TTTATTTGTTATTATTGGAGAAAAGTACTACCAATGTAATTTAAAGTATTTTTTTTTTACCTTAACTTATAAAACACGTTTACATTTGTCAGTAATAGGATAAGAATTAATTTTAAAACTACACTGATCAACCACAGGTTAAGTGAATCTACAATAGCACCTGTTAAGAGGTGGGAAAGCACAGCAAGTGAACAGTCAGTTCTTGAATATTTAAGAAAAGTGTTATAACACACAGTGCATCACAGTTTGCTGTGTATCAGGTTATGTAGTTGCAGACTGGTCAGCGTGCCCATGATGATCCTTGCTCACCACCTAAAGTGACTTCAATGGGCATGTGCGCATCAGAACTGGACCATGGAGCCATGGAAGAAGGTTGCCTGGGTTAACAAATCACATTTTCTTTAACATCAGTTGTATGGCCGTGTGCATCATTTACCTGGGTTGAAAGCATGATGCACTAAGGGACGGGATTTCAGAGGCAGTGTTATGCTCTAGGCAATATTCTGCTGGGAAACCTTGGGTCCTGGCATTCATGTGGATGTTAATTTGACACTAACCACCTACCTAGAGATTGGTCTAGACCATGTGCACCCCTTCTTGGCAATGGTGTTCCCTGATGTTGGCCTCATTCAGAAAGACAACCCACCATGTCATACTGCAAAAATTGTTCAGGAATAACTTGATAAACATGACAACAAGTTCAAGGTGTTGCCTTGGCCTCCAAATTCTCCAGATTTCAATCCAGTTGTAATGGAAAACCCAATATGATCCACCTCGCAACTTGCAGGACTAAAAGGATCTGCTGCTAATGACTTGGTTGAAGATACCACAGAACATGTTCAGATCTCTTGTGGAGTCCATGCCTCAATGTATCAAAGCTGTTTTGGCAACACAAGGGAGACTAACGTAATATTTGGTAGGTGGTTTTAATTATGTGGCTGATCAGTGTGCTTTCTTTAATTACTTTTAGAAATCTAGAATACTGCATAACTGTTTTTCTCTTTTTTTTTTTTTAATTTGAAAAAATAACCAGCATACAAATGCATATTATATAGTCAATTTAGTACCGACCACCTAACTTAGAAAGTATCTTTTATTATTTTTGTGATTGGAGCCAACTGCCACTCTAAATTTGATTTATTGGTTTAATGCTGTAATATGAACTCCACTTCCTTCAAGTGCAAGTTGTTTTCTTTTTATTACCACATCATAATTCTTATTGGTTTGATTGCCATTTAATTGTATTTTATATGCTGATATCAGCCCTTCAACAGCTGGCAGGCAAGCATTCTGTTTTAAAATTGTGTATATCCTTAACATAGACTCTCCTGAATACCAGACAAAGATTTTAGTTGACTGTAATATTAAACAATTTGTGAGAACCTAAAGGTTTTTAGTGTCGCTGTCATATAATCCCAATTTAAGCGATCAAACGCCTTTTCCACGCCAAGTGCAATGAGTATGCCACTTTGTGCGCTATGATTGGCCCCGTCTATCATATCCATACAGTATCTGGTGTTTTCCCCAACTTGTCTACCCGGTACAAATCCTATTTGTTAATCTAATATTAATGTTGGCAATAAGGGTTTTAATCTGGATGCTAGTAGTTTGGAGTACAATTTAACATCTGCATTTAGTAATGAGATTGGTCTAAGATTGCCGCATGTGGTTGGGGGTTTATTGGGTTTGGGTAACGTAATGATGTGTGCTTCTAACATTTCAGATGGAATTTTTCCTGAGATTTTTATATTATTGAATAGTTTAAATTGTGGACGAACTCACTTCATACTATGAGGATTTATATAACCTTAGTAGAGATAGCAATACACATACTCCTATATAGAGTTGATTCTAGTTTTATATAGTAATAGTTTGATAGACCATCTGGACCAGTTGATTTGTGTTTAGGTAGTGATCTGATGGTCTTACTGATTTCTTGTTCCATGAATGGGGTCTGCAGAAGTTCATTTTGTTGGAGTGAAATTGTAGACAGCGATACTGTTCTTAAGTAAGAGAGTATTTTTTCTTCTATAGGAGTATGTGTATTGCTATCTCTACTAAGGTTATATAAATCCTCATAGTATGAAGCGAGTTCGTGCACAATTTTGTTAGGGTTATATAATTTTGCGTTCAGTATATAAGGTATTTTGGTTTGAAGGTATTTTGCTTTGAAATTTGTTGGCAAATAATTTCCCTGCTTTATTGCTTAATCTGTAATATTTTTGTTGGAGTTTTGTCAGATTTTTAGTAGTTTCTTGAACATAGAGTTTTTGGAGTTTTGCCTGGGTGTTTGCTTGATGGTAGATTTTGAGGGTGATAATTTATTTTTTTGTTCTAGTGAGGTTAGGTCTAAAAGTAGTTTTGACTTTTTGTTTTGGTATCTTTTCTTCTTTACCAATCCTAGTTTAATAAATTCCCCTCTGATAACCGCCTTATGGGCTAGCCACTGGGTAACCATAGTGGTATCGTTTGTTGTGTTATCAGAGAAATAGTTATATAAGGTGGTTTCTATGTGTTGCATGCTAGAAGAACAATCAAGGATGGTTTCATTCAATCTCCACTTTCCACGGCCTTTGTTTGGGTACAGAACTGCAATAGTTGTAACTATAGGGGCATGGTTTGACCACGTTCTCTGCCCTATTTCCTGATCCACCAGATGTGGTAGTGTGGATTTGTCAATGATACAGAGGTCGATACCCATGTACGTCATATGTACCTGTGAGAAGTAAGTGTATTCTCGTGCAGTTGGGTATATGTTTCTCCAAGAGTTGTATAGGTCATTAGAGTGAAGGAGGTTTGTGAGGAGCTTGCTATTCTATACAGAATGTTTGTTTGGTGTTTTGCCTTGGGCTCTTTGAATATCCAAAGTTGTGTCTAGAGTGCAATTATAGTCACCACATATAATTACATGACCCTGTTTGTGCGACAGTAATTTCTTGGTCGCCTTATTAATAAAGGAGTACTGGCCCTCATTTGGCGCATAAAGGGATGCTACCGTTATTTGTATACCATTTAATTCGCCTACCAGGATCAAGAGTCTCCCTTCTTGGTCTTTATATTGTTTATGTAGGGTGAAAGCCCAGTCAGCATTAAAAATGTTCTTCTTTTGTGCATACGCATGATATGACATGGGATATTTGGACGATTTTAAGTCGGGAGGGTTTTTTCCTCCAAAGTGAGTTTCTTGTAGGCATACTATTGCTGCTTTAGATGCATTAATGTCATTCATTGCTAGTTGTCTTTTATGTGGGCTGTTTAGTCCCCTAACATTAAGGGAACATTTTTTCATATAATTAGTCATAGTCAATGGAGGTTTAGCTGCGATGCCTGATCTGTGATTAACAGTTTAATGGATATGATAGTGGCCCATATCACATGATTTATCAGAGTATCTTTAAAGCACCAACCATATTTAGTATTCAAGGGCCCACGTGTATATTTAAATGGTAGACTTGCATTTCAAGCTATATACTATGGTGTGAATTTGGCCTTAAGCACTAGTGTACAGTGTAATATACATCTACAATATGCAGTTTTCAGTGTTAGATAAGAATAACAGAAAAAAATAAACATAAAAATAACCAAGGTATATACATAAATCCCCTTGTACCAGGAGATATAACATGGGTCACGTATAGATCACTAGAGAGTGTGATCTCAAAGATATGACCCTGGGGGGGCATAGGATCTCCAGTTCCCGTCCTTATTATTAAGCAAGTATAGAGTAACTAAACCACATTTTAACTTAAATCTCTAGTGATGTATAATTTATACCAATCCATTTAAAAAAAAGACAAACTTATTTAAATTAGGTTTCCCAAAATGGTTCAAAGTAGTAACATTAAGTATAATTTGTTAGATCAAATGAAAGGGAGTGGGCCTGTTCTATAAATAAGCAACATTATAGTGCAGTGTTGCAACTACGAACTCCCATCACTTTAAAAAAAAAAGCCATAACTGAAATTACTCAGTTGGATAGAAATGGACATAAATACATAGCAAGTTAGACAGATAAAATATTATTATCACTTAGCCATTAAGTGAACCTTCCAGAGAGTCCAACCCGAAAGTGTTTGGTAGGTTAATTCTCTTCATATTTCATGTCTTTTTCATGGGTGATCCCGCCAACTGCCATTCCTTTTGAACTCGTTTTGAGGGAGATGACAGTGAAGCTTGTTGAGTGACTGTTGTATTATTTCACATACCCCATTCTGTAAGCAAATGGACGCCTTCTGCTGGATTATTAGCGATGTGTGTTTTTTTCTTGTTTCCAAATTAAAAGTTTGGTTGGATATCCCCATTTGTATGATATGTTAGTGGCACGGAGAATAGAAGTTACAATTGTAAATTCCTTACGCCTAAACATTGTGGCTGCAGATAAATCGTCGTATAAGAATACCTTCTGATGTGGATCTGGAAACGTGGCTGTTTTTCTTGCTGCCGCCATTAGTGCTTATTTGTGAGCATAATAATGAAATTTTACAATAATGTCCCTTGGAGTCTCATTCGCGAGGCGCGCTGGTCTTGGCAGATGGCTTGTCCTTTAGAGATTTATTTTCTTATTTCCGTGTCTATGTGGTGGAAATCTGCTGTTAGCGTAGCTCTCAAGGACTAAATATCCCCAATCAGGGGCGTATTAGCCGCGAGGCAAACAAGGCATTTGCCTTGGGTGGCATTTTTCAGGGGGCTGCAAAAAACGCCGCCTCCCAAATGCCCAAGGCAAATGCCTAGTTAGCCTCGCGGCTAACAGACATCCCGAGCAGGCGGGCGGCTGGCGAGGGAGCACTTCCTATGAGCTGACTGCTCAGCTCCCTCGCGCGCCGCAGAGTGAGGCTGGGAGCCGGGTTGATGACGTCATCTTCCGGCTCCCAGCCTCACTCTGCAGCCGGCTCGCGAGGGAACTGAGCAGTCAGCTCATAGGAAGTGCTCCCTCGCCAGCCGCCCGCCTGCCAGCGCCACCTGCCCGACCTGCAGCCACTGGACCACCGGACCACCAGGGAGAGAGACCCCCCCCCAGCACTCCCAAAGGTAAGGAGGTTGGGGGGGGGGATTTAAATTTAAAAAAAAGTTAATGTGTGTGTGTGTCTGACTGTGTGTGTGTTTGTGTCTGACTGTGTTTGTGAGTGTGTGTGTTTGTGTCTGACTGTGTTTGTGTATGTGTGTGTTTGTGTCTGACTGTGTGTGTGTGTGTGTGTGTGTGACTGTGTGTGTGTTTGTGTCTGACTGTCTGTGTCTGTGTATGTGTCTGACTGTGTGTGTGTGTTTGTCTGACTGTGTATGTGTCTGACTGTGTATGTGCCTGACTGTGTGTGTGTTTGTCCGTGTGTGTGTGTGTCTGACTGTGTGTCTGACTGTGTGTGTGTTTGTGTCTGACTGTGTTTGTGAGTGTGTGTGTGTGTCTGACTGTGTTTGTGTCTGTGTATGTGTCTGACTGTGTTTGTGTCTGTGTATGTGTCTGACTGTGTGTGTGTGTTTGTGTCTGACTGTGTGTGTGTGTGTGTGTGTGTGTGTGTGTATTTAGAAGGTGGGGGGGGGAAGGGGTTGGGTGGGGGTGGCGCGGGGGGCGCCTGAGTTTTGTCCTGCCTAGGGCAGCACAAAACCAGGATACACCACTGTCCCCAATAATAAAAACTACTATAGACCATCAATTTTAGCACAGTGTCTAGATATAATGACAAACAGAACTAAACCAATTTGGCTCCAATTTGAATCTGCATGCACCGGCCTAACCCAGATCTCTGACTTTCTGTGGACAACATCTAGGCCCAAAGGCACCATTGTGCTGCCATGTACAAAATTTCTACTGCATTCTTGGAAAAACTGGAGTTCCCTATTAATATCCCCCAAGGAACTGCTGTTTCTAGCGCCAATACCCGCTCTCTCAACTATTTCAGCAGATCTTCTCTTGCTTTCATGGTCTATAAAGGGCCTCACACATGTACTCCCTTCTCGATAAAAACGGTATGATCCCCTTTCCAGTACTACAATCATTTTACTCACTACCAGCAAGAGACACTTTCTTATATCTAAAAATCAAACACATATTACAATCAAGGGGAATACAGCATTCCAACCTTCTATCATTAAGTAAAGTAGGTCGTTTGTGCCATCAGATTAACAAAAACCTATACACAACCAAATTTCTATCAGCTTGCTATATGTCACAAAATGCTAAGGAACAAGGAAGCAAACTTGCTTATATGCTCAAATGGGAAGAAGATCTAAACACAGTCTTTCCCCTGGATGAGTGGGAAGCGGCTATAGTTCAAACTAAGCTCTCATCTAAGTGTGTCACCCACTGGGAAGCGTATTATAAAATTCTTATGAGATGGTACCTGGTGCCTAGCAGGCTTTGTGTGATATATCCTATGGCAAACTCCATGTGTTGGAGATGCAATGAAGTAAGGGGGGGCATAAAACACATATTCTGGGATTGCACACACTTGGAAAAATTTTGGCTCCAAATACAAAAGATATTACGCAAGGTAATAGGAAGCGAGCCATCCAAAGCTGCCGCTCTGAATATATTATTAGCATCGCATTTCATTGGAAAATCACGACTTGTCCCACAATACCAGAAGTACTCAGAAGGGTAGACCTTACATTCCACCACAAAAGGGAATGGGCCAAAAAAGGAAACTTGTTAAAATTCCAGGATAACTGGAAAGGTTGGGAACTCTTTTACCAACAATACAATTAACACAACATGTTAATCTGTAAATTAATTGTAACTTACGAATTAATGTTGTGCACAGGAAGTCAGTTATCTGCTTATGACTATAACATATTTTGTTTAGTGTATTACTTTTTACTTTTTTTACTTTATCTACCCTCTCCCACCCTCCCCCTACTATACTCAATTCCTGCTTTATCAACCTTATGTATCACCTCGCCGTTATACTCCCTCCCCCTGACCCCTAAGGTAGAAGCTCACGGTGATTTTAAACTGTAAGCGTAATTTTATTAGGATCATACCTGAGCAAGATATCGAAACCTGACATGTTAAATATCTAACAAAACAGGAGCCCACCCCTGGGCATATCCATCGCAAGCATTGTTTCAGTAATTGAAAGTCTCTTCTGTAACACAGTTTACTCAAATACTTAATTGTTATCAGAATGTCTAATTATCATAAACCATGCTTAGCAGCACACACCCATGCATCTTGTAACGGAAGGTTTTCTAATGACTGTCAAGCTTAAAATATGAATTTAACTATAGTTGATCCTATGATACTTTGTTTGAAAGGTGACAAAAGCTGGTCCGGAAGATATACATATGTTTATGTAGTTTGTTGCTTAATAATACTCATATGTTTAAAATTTTGATGTAGATTCTATAACATACATATGTTTATACAACTGTTTTTCAAATGAGGATATTTCCTCAATGTTTGTTACCTTTTACCGATTTCTTTGTTTTTTGTAAATCAATAAAAATTATATATTGAAAAAATAATAATAATAATTTAAACAATTGAATTATTTTCTTCTTTTTTATACTAAAATATTTCCAGAAACGAGTGAATTTTTTGAAGTGTAGGAAAAGCATTATTACTCCTGGATTGCCTGCATAGGATATTTATATCTTCATGTAAATATACTTTTTCTACAACAAGGCAAAATGATTAAGTACAACTTGAAATAACCCTTGTAATCTACTTTGTAATAGGAGAGCATAGCAACATGTAAAAGATGAGCATTGCCACTGTGGATGGACAAATGATAAAAGAAACACATGTCCAGGTGTTAGAGCAAATGAGAATGTAAAATATAAGGTACATAAAACTGACATACGAATTGATCATCATGCAAATTTAAATTATATTTGTGTGTTACAGTAAGAATTATACGTTTAGACACACACTGACATATACAGATTGATGTACAGAATTATTCAGTGAACATTTAATTTTTGTGAATTGACTGTAAATAACAACAATTAGGTTAAAATAATTTATTAAAAATTCTTCAACTTAGCTATAGTCATCACTCTGCTGTTTTCAACTATATTTTGCCATTTGTAATCATGTAACTAAATGTTGGTGCTTAGTTTATACCCCTCTTAGAGTTTGTTGTAAAAAGCATGGATCATGCACAGAGTGCTAAAAAGAAAATTATGAGCCAACTTGTTTTTTGGGTTCAGTTGGTCTTTCAATACAGTTTAATATCCAATAATATTGTAACTGTAATTTCCTCCTCACACTTTCCTCTTATTTGTAAGAATTACTCACAAAAGTCACATTTACCTCCTTAGCCTCAAACATTAACTAATGTGATGTACAATGCAATCGAAAGAGCCTGCCTTTGCAAAGAGGCAATATAGACTGTAAGCTCGTTTGAGCAGGGTCCTCTTCAACGTATTGTTCCTGTAAGTTTTCTTGTAATTGTCCTATTTATAGTTACATCCCCACCTCTCATAATATTGTGAAGCTCTACTGAAACTGTTCGCGTTATATAAATGTAGATAATAATGATAATAATGTAGGTTCATTACAAACCTACATTGATATACCATAGGAAGGTGAATAACATTGATCATATCATTACAATGGAACCTGTCATTAGGCAGCAAGTGAACAGTCAGTTCTGGAATCTCAAGAAAAGTGTCGTAACCCACAGTGTATCACATCATCCTAAAATAATTTATAGGTGGTATCTAGCTCCATTTTAAAATGAAAAAAATGAATGTGACGAGACCAATCTCGCCACATTGCATTGGAGAAGCCTGGTTGCTCGCCTGCTGCCTCTGGACTATGGCCCCCTGTTAAAAGACATCTTTTTTACCTGCAGAAAAGCTTCATTCATGCTTTTCTGCCTTGGGTTCGGTAGATTTGTTTGAATGTGTTATACCCCAGATAGGAATCCCATGGAGCCCATTCGTATGAAACTGACTGTAAAGACTTTGGCTCCATGGCGATTGTGCGCTCAGACATGAGCTATCTGGGGATATGTTAAATGTATAGTTTTAATGTAAGGTGTCTTACCTGATGTATTTTAAAGTGTTTTACTGCTTGACCCTCAACACAGAGCCTTGTCTCGTTCTTGGGGGGATTCACTGTATGCTGTTAGAGACTGATTGCCAGGAGTGTAAGCTGATTGTCTGCTTTTCCTGTTCGTCTGCTAGCAGCTATTTGGGAGGTTCCAGTTCGGGAGTTGGAGTGCTATTTTGTATCCAGTTTGGGAGTTTGGTGTTCTGCGTAGCTGTGCCTGTATCTCTGGAAAGGGGGCCGATCGCCTAAACGGTTTTTACCCCTTGTGTGCAAAACGGTCCGTTACAATTGGTGGCAAGCGGCGGGATCGTTCCCACAGAAGGACAGCTACAGGAGACACCATTTCTTTGGATTTACAAGTTAAGGGCAACGCATGTCCTAGTACAGCGACCCTGACAGCACCAGGATGGAACCAGCAGTGGAGTACAGCTACTCTATGAGAGAGTATGACCGGATGGTGTGGTTTCACCTAAGCTTCTTCGGATCCAACCCACTGGAGAGATCGGTGCGGTTCATGAGGAACCTAGTGTTCGAGAGGCTGCAACAACGGGCAGAAAGAGAAGGTCAGTTGGCACGTTGGGAGAAACTCCAGCGGCAGATACAGCAGGGAATTGGGAGCCCAGTCTCCACTCCCCAGTGGCAGTGTGATATGCCGGGAATTGGGAGCCCAGTCTCCATTCCCCAGTGGCAGTGTAAAGTGCAGGGAGAGGAGAGCAGCATCCTCCCTCCCCAGCGGCAGGCTGAGTTACAGGGGGCAGAGGTAGTTGTTCCTGCCCTCCAGCAGCAGAGTGATATGCCGGGAAGGCAGTGTGAAGTCCAGGGAGAGGAGAGCTGTGTCCTCCCTCCCCAGCGGCAGCGTGATTTTCTGGGAATTGGGAGCCTGGTCTCCATTCCCCAGCGGCAGTGTGATGTGCCGGGATTTGGGAGCCCAATCTCCATTCCCCAGCGGCAGTGTTATTGGTTGGGAATTGGGAGCCCAGTCTCCAGTCCCCAGTGGCAGAGTATCCAGCAGGGAATAGAGAGCCCAGTCTCCCTTTCCCAGCAGCAGGACACTGTATTGGGAGCGGAGACAGTCGGTCTCCCTCCACAGAGGATGAAAGTATGTATGGGAGAGGAGCTTTCTACCACCTCTCCCCAGCAGCGGATCATTAATGGGCAGGGAATAGAGAGCTCGGTCTCCTTTCCCCAGCGGCAGAGTGTTCTATCGGGAGAGGAGCCTGTTACCCCCTCTCCCCAGCGACAGCTTAGAGTATCCAAAGAGGAGACAGTCGGTCTCCCCCTCCAGCAGCAGAGCTGTGTAACCAAAGGGGAGACAGTCGGTCTCCAGCAGCAGAGCTGTGTAACCAAAGGGGAGACAGTCGGTCTCCAGCAGCAGGACTGTGTATCTAAAGGGGAGACAGTCGGTCTCCCCCTCCAACAACCAGGCTT